GCCTGCGACACGCACATGATGACATCGTAGACGGTGAGCTCGTTTGCCGTTCCCGCCAGTCCGTCGTGGCACATGCCCCCCACCTGGTGCGCATCCGTGCCCATGCCCGCCATGCCCACCATGCTGCCGCCCACCAGTTGCTGGTGTCCGCCCACAACAACAACGCCGACGCTCACGCCGCTGCCGCCGCTGGCATTGCCGCCGCTACTGTTGTTGCTATTATTGTTATTGTTATTGGCACTATTGCAACCGCCCAGCTCCGATGGCGAGGAGGCGATCGAACACATTTGTGGCGTTTGTGGAGTACTCGGGGTCTTCACTCGTGCGCCGCTTACATGCGGCTGCGGTTGCTGTTGCAGTTGCTGGTGCTGCTGCTGCTGCTGCTGTTGCTGTTGCTGTTGCTGCTGCTGCTGCTGCTGCAGGAGATGCTGTTGATGCTGCTGCTGTAGGTGACTCGGGTGCAGTGTGCTGCTGGTGGTATCATCCACATTGAGGGAGGCAGGAGCTCCAGCGGCGGCGGAGGAGGCAGCCGCTCCGTTCAGCTCACGGGAACGCTTGGGAACGCGACCATAACGTACAGCTGCATGGGTAAAGTATAATGAAAAAGGGGAAATGAGTTACTTAGTTAATCGTACTCTTTCAATTCTAAAATCCTCACAGTAAGTTTTGTATTTTAAAAGACCAACTGCCTGCAACCTTAATTACTTTTCTGACTTCCGGAAGTCGGAAACTCTGAATAATTCCATATATACATGTATATTACATACAAGTACGAACATATTTAATTTTAGTTTATAAAGTATGCATGAGGTAGAAAGATAAGATTCTAGAGCCGTAGACGCTGAGCAGATATGTATCAGAGATTGCCACACCCCTTCTTACGCCCACACTTTTGGAAAATATCATTATTTTATTTGACATTCATACCTAATCCATGTACAACTTACATTTACATATTTCGGTCCATCCAAAAAGTATGCTATGAATTGAATAGTTCCAATAAATGCTGATGCGTCGGTCTTGTTTACCCATTTAAATAGTGCGTATTTTTCATGGTTTGTATCGTATTAGTCACCTGACTATTTCAATTCAAAAATACGCTCCCTACAAATACACGATTATCATATCATAGCCTCACATCAAGTGATGTTAAATTCTTTGCATTTAGTTGGGAAAGTGAAAAACTGGCACACGCATAAATCTTAGAAATGCGTCACACACTTGTGGATACTTTCGGGTATCTTTCAAGCAAATTGCCAACATTTCTGTTCTATCAACTAGAAAATTTGCGTGTCCTACAAGTTGTTTGCTTGGTGCGTCGAAACGCGATACATTCTGTCTGGGGAAAATAATTAATTTCAATTTTTCGTTAAGCGTTTGAAGTCTTCATTAGCCAAAAGGTTGTTTCGTCATTTCTTGAATATCTTGAATGTCTCGTATGCGAAATCACAATACTGCAAAATGTGAGATGTTTTCGCTTTGTGCAACCGAAGACAGCACATATTTCATTAATTAAAATCGCATTTGGCTGCACAAAACGCCAACCAAACCAAACAGATGGACAGACAGGCTGAAAAAGAAACAGACGCAGCTGCTCCAGTTGCTCCAGTTGCCGGCTTTCAATGCTCACTTTATCAGTGGGACATTGACCCACTGCGCTCAATATGAAAACGTAGCCAAGTGATTTCGTTGTTTTCCTCTTGCCTTATTTGAGTTTATGTGCGGCTATTTCCTCGGCTCTGCCGTGTGTTGTTGTGGTCTGGCGGTAGCCGCCGCCGGCGGTTTCCAAACAAACAATCACAACACTAATGACGAAAGCCCCTCGCTGCTCCTACTAGCTTACTATGCGTCAGCATTTCGGTCTGACAACATCGAAAGACGCCATCAAATAAAGTAACACAAAATGCGGGCAGCGTAAGCCAAAAGTGAAAGAAACTTCGCATGCATTGCGCATACGCGGCGTGGACAGGCGGTGCCGGAAAACTCTTTTGCACGCAAAGCATCGCCAGCATATGAGGGGAAAAATAACAATCTTGCCGAGCGATGGTGATGGCCAACACACTGACCCATTTATGGCGCACCAAAACATGGCAGCTGCGACGGTGCTGGGGGTCAGAAAGGTCGTTGGCACTGCACAGGGAGAAATTTATGAGCATTGATTGCAACTGAAACATACGCCACAACGCAGTTTCCAAAGGCTGTGTTGGACAAACTAATGTATATGTTTGCTAACTATTCATTTTTAAAAAATTTGTGTAAACTAGTTTTGATAGGAGTTTGATAACTGTGCAGAGTAGGGGATTACTCATCATCATATGCTTTATAACTTTATTTAAATAACTTGATTGGTGAGTCGATTCCCATTCAAAATTTGACGAGCTAATCCCGGAACGGCTGACCTATTTTGGTGACTCTCTAGCAGACCGCGAGCCGCAACTTCCCTGACCTTAGAGGCGTGGCAACATGATCCCTTTACGACCGCCGCCAGCTGAGGTTTTTAGTGCCAGCCTTGTCGCGCTCGTAACTCTAGGTTTCTAGGTTCTCATTGCGCTCGAGTCACGCTTTTCACGCTTTTCACCGCCCACCGAAGAGCGTTGATCGTAAATTGTCTCGCTGGCGTTAATTGTCACAGCTCGTAAATTAATTACGGCATAATTCGCCACACACTATGATAATAGCACCCTCACATGGAATTGGACATTGGGTTTTGAGGCTGTCGGCAGCTTCGATACGCCGCTAATTGCTCATGGCGGCCAGTTGGCGTTCTTGCTCTGATTGTTCTAAGGTGTTTTCAATTAGCGACCGAGGCTCTCGATACATTGATTTGCAGGTGAAATCCGCAAGGCTTTAAGTCTTTAATGAAATGGGAGCATCTATCATTGCGGAATTGGGAACACAGCAAGCACCACAGTCCCCAACATAATGCCCCATCATTATTTATTCAATCGACCTGGACCTGCACCCCTGCGCCCCAGCTCGCAAGTCACCTGTCACCACCCACGGAGCGGCGCACATTCAGGCCAGGTCAACACCATCCATTACACTCGCCTCGGGCCAAGTTGGGGAGTCGGGGAGTTGGGCAGTCCAGGCCCATAGAGCTAAGCGGGGCATTGCTGCTGGCCTAAGCTCTAACTTTTCCCAGCTAAAAGCATCTTAAGTGATTTAGTGCAGCCAAATGACAAGCATGAAAGCATCAGGGAAGTGGGGAAAAGCGGAGCAGCGAAGTGGGGATCCAGAAGCGGGCGGAAAAACTCGTTTAGGCCAGATTCCCAGCGTGAACTGCACCTGGGAAAGGCGCGTTATACTCTTTTCAAATTCCACGAAAAGTTCAATACGTTTGTGAACAACATGTATCTTTATTTCCGAGACATGATTCTTAGAAAAAGAAAACGTATTTTATAATGCTACCTAAAAAAAACTGTTTATATATGTGCATTTTTCCTAACAAAATGTTTTTAAAGTTAAATAAAGTATCGTTTAAATGGTATATTTTTGAAAAAGAAATCTAGCTGACAATTTTCTATATCACGCCGAGTACTGCAACATTTTTTTGAGTGCACAAAGTTGGGTGAGGGGTTTTTCTGGTTGTAGCAAAAAAGGATTTGGGTCACCGAGATCTGAGGCAGCAGAAGTGCGGGCAGCGGCAGTGTCGCTTCGTAAAGTGCCCAAAACTTGCCACATTTGGCAGGATTCTGCTTTCAGTCGTTCGTGCCCCAACTTCTGGTCGCAGTCTTTCGACGCTTAGCGGACCGAGCCGGGCCATTAGCATGCGAAGGAGGCCAAATGCCAACTGCCAACAGGCAACATCCAACTGCCAACCGCCGTAGTAACACCAGCACAGATACAGATACATACGAGTACGTATGTTTATCAGCATATACTCGTATAGTTGATGCTTTTCGGCTTTATCGTGCGCATGAATGGCCTCCCCCGCGCCGCCCCCTGCCCCTGCCCCCAGCGCCCATCCGGTGACCTCGTTTGAGGTCGTTCGTTCACCTGTCGCTGCTGGCTGCACTTAGTGCACCTTATACTCTCTACATTTGCATGACTTCCCGGGCGCGCCAGTGTGTGTGCGTGTGCACTATGTGTGTTTACCCAGTTACGAAATTGTCCAAAATGCTGCGGCTTACTGCCGGGTGAAAGTTTGTTGTTTGCTTGCTGTGCCACAGAGCATAGCATGGGCACAACTATCGGATACCCTATACTCAGCTAAAGTTGTTTTTAAAGTTGTTTGTAAAGCTTTAAGAACCGTAGAATGCAAATGAAACCTTAAAAAAACCGAGTAACTGCCTATAGGTCCGTGTTTTGTACAATTGCCCACAAAAGAGTACTACGAATTTAACGCCAAAGTTTGGTTAAAAGGGTTTGCACTCCTTTTTCCGCGACGTGTACGAGGCTAAGCATTACTTATGAAGCTACCTTGTTTTTTCATATGCACCTGGGTGTGCCAGTCACACACAGAGTGTGTGGCGCTCTATCTGGAACAGCTAAAATTGTTAGTTGCGTGCTAAATTTGTTCCTTTTCTCAGCCGGCGGTGGCAACAGCAACAACACCTCGCACGCAGCAACCGCCCACACGCCCCGAGCTACAACAACAAAAGCAGCAATAATAGTAGGAGCAACAATAACAATGAACTGCAAAATTGTGTCAAGCAATTTGCGTAAATTATCGCCATGTTGTTGGATTTCTGCCTATTCGCTGACTATTCATGAGTACAATTGCAGTTTAATGACCGTTCAAATTAACTTTGCCTCACTTCGATTCGCCATGACACATATTTATTTGATTTAATTTTGCTTCGATGGCAGTTGATCCACAAGTAATTTAACGCACTCACAGCAGCAAATCCCGGTGGAGCATCAAAAGTTGTGATTGGTATTACAGAAATATACAATATTGACGGCTTTTCATGAGCGCCATGGAAGATTTCATAATGGAAAATGTAAGAAAGAACAAATTCTAGGAAAGAATGCTCTTCAATACCTAAAGAGGCCATCTCTTAGTCCTGGTTAGCGGCACAGTTTTGGACGTTATAGGAATAATCGCATATATTCTTCTGCCGATCGAACCATTTTCCCAGCTCACAGAGTCCCAAAACGGCGCAACTTCCATAGCAGGTGTAGAAATTGCGGCAGTGGTACGGATGGGGGATACTCTTTTCCTGAGGTTGGCATATCACATTATTGGCACAAGGTCCTGGAGTGTCTGGCGTAGTATTTGTGGACGTTGTGACGGGCGGAGTTGCGGGCGTGTTTGCTGAACAAGTGCCATCAAATCTTGGGCATTGACCCACCACACAAGATTTCGCGGAAATGTCGAAAATCTGGCCCTGAGGACACTTCAGCTTCTCGTAGGAACCGGCGCCACAAATGTAGTAGCCGGAGCAGTCCTCGCAGTCCGGAATGGTATCGTTTACCAAATGTCCCGAGCATATGCAAACTTCATCCGCATTGTAGACATACAACTGCCCAGAAGTGAAATAACCACTAAGGATGCAGAGTCCTCCCAAGAATATCAGAGCTGCAAAGCGAGTCCTTATGATCTGCACATGTATTAATCGAATCCTGCCAATGCTCACCCAACTTCATGCTTTCAGCAATCTTTCAGAATCGCAACTAAGACTTTACGGCTCAACAAAGCCGATTTATAGACCTTTTTTAGTTACATAATGTGTAGACAAGCTGTTCCATTGGTGCATTTTATTTACCTTGCAATTGACCTAACTTCCATTCCACTCCAGATAGCGCGTACCCTACGTTTATTTTATAACCCATCATCATAATGATATCGTCTGAATTAATCCAATTAATCCAAACAAGTCGATGGATAAGAAAATCATCATATGTACAGCACGTGTTCGCACATTTACGCTTTCGGGGCAGGGCAAACAGTCAGAATATGAATAAAAAATCGAGCGAGAAATCAAAGGCAGCCATATATGCAAATTTCGAACTGACCTACTCCCATAAGAAAATCAAATAAAGCCCAGCGGAGCGATACGAACCGATACGATACGATGCGAGACAAAACTAAACCACTCGTTTCGGAGTCGATGGAGAACGGAAAAAAAATATCAAAATTCCCAAGTGCTGGCAAATATTTATGGAAATCCTGAGCGGAGGGCGTCGATCTCGAGTCAATCAGATCTTGTGGATTTTTCGACCAGCGGGAGGTTGACAGATTCCTATGGCAAATTGCGGGCAATTAGCGGGGATTTGGAGAAAGGCTTTCCACACCGTGTAAATGGAACCACCTTCGGGGGGAATAATGAATAATTTCTTCGTTTCTCTCCCATTCACATGCTCATCCGAGTGGCTGACCCGCCTTCAAATACTCCAGACCTCCGATTCAGATTCCCTATCCACACGGAGCACTCACACACTCGTGCATACGTATACATAATTCACTTAAGCGCGCTCAACGAAGCGAGATGAATGACCTCAATTTGAATAGTTGTCCATATAGCCAAAGTTCCCTCTCGGAATTTCGGGTGCCATTTAAATCAACAAAAGCCACCGCCTACTTCTTCTGTCTCTTCTGACAATCTCTTCTCTTGCGTTCTGTTTTCACGTTGATTGCATTCTTGTAAAATTATTCAAATGCTCCACAATTTTCGGGGCCAGTTTTCTCTCACCAAGCTGGGGAATCGAGGTTATAATTATTGTGCTGAAAAGGAGTGGCTGCCCGACGCCTTCTCTTCTTCAACCATCGCTATAACGACATGACCACCATCACCATCACCATCACCATCGTCATCATCGTTGTCGCAGTCGTTGCCGCTGGCATCGTTTTTCTTTTTATCTATTTGACACAATTCTCTGGGCAAAGTTTAGCTCCACCGCGCCCCTGCCGCTCGGATTTTTGTTTAGTGACACAGTTTATATGACGTTCTCTGTTCTCTGTTCTCTTTTCCCTGTTTTCTGTTTTGACTACCTAATTAGATAAACACGGAGAGTCTTGGGTGGCTGGCTGGACACTCGCCACAGATGGAGTGGCTAGATCGAAGCCAGAAAATAAAGCTCTAATGGGCAGCGGTTTAGATAAATTGCCAGCGACAAGGTTTCATCAGAAATTTGTAATAACTGGCGTGCTTCACGTCCGGCCATAAACATTTCAATTAGCCAGCAGCTTAGCGAAGATTATCGCCAGCAGAGTGCCAAGATCCAAAAATATTGGGGCACCGAAAGAAATCTTGTTTATACATTTTCATTTCACATCCGGATATCTAGGAACTATAAAGGTTGTGTCGTATAACTTATAATTATTTACTAAGAGCATTTTAAAACTGCCCTTATTATTAATCAGATTGCGAGAATATTGCACTTAAACGGGAAAATAATAAGAAGCGTGAAACTGCGAAAGCAGTAAACATTTTTGCTTGCGGTGTAGACTCAGCGGAATTACCACATCATTAAGAGTATTTTGAACCTGCTCGAGTAAGCATTTTCTTAAACCGCATTTATGGGATGCTGCGAAAAATCGAAAACGAATTTCAGTCTCGCATTAGGCATGCAAAATTAAAAATTAAAGCGGCCGAAATTAAAAGTTTAACTGCCGGAAGCCGCTCTAACTGTAAACCGCAAGCGGGCAACGCGGCGGATGAGTAATGCCGCCGAATTATCGCCGCGAGACGCGCGATTTCGAGTGGTCTTATCAAATATTTGCACTGAAATGTGCGGCTAAATTAAAGCAAAAACAAATAGCAAGCAAAACAAGGCAGACGTTCGAAAAAAGCAGCAAGAGGACAAAAATCAAATGAAATAGAAGAGGAAAAATAGGTTTGATGCTCCACATTGATAAGCTGCGAGCGCATTAGCAATTAGAAAATTAAATGCCAGCCCAGCGAGCGCGCGTTTGTGCTATAAATGTTTCAATGAACTAAAAAGCCTTCGGATCCCATCTATCTGTCTATCTGGTCGAGGGAACCTTAATGAAAAGAACAAACAATTAAATTAGCCAAGAGGCAAAACGTCAGGCCGAAGACAAAAATGCTTTTCGACAGGGCAAAACTAGAACGCCGCCACATTTGTGAAATGCCAAAGACACTCGCATCACCACAAATACTTCAATAGCGCGCAGATACAGATACAAGCACAGATACATTCAGCAGATGAGATCAACGATCCCAGCAGATCCGTCGATCGCCGATTGCCGGGTGATCGATCGTTAGGGCAGCTGCTGCCAGTCAGGCAGCCAGTCCAATCCAATCCAATCCAACCCGTGATTGATTGATTTAATAATACGAATTAACAGCGCCAAGTAGGTAAGATCAATGGTCGCGGGCCAAGTGGAACGGGGGCGTTTTGGGGGCGCTTTTATCTGCAAGCTGCCAAAGTGTCTGAAGCCATCAAAACAGGCGGGCGATATGGATAATAACTAGGGGGTATGTTGATTGATCCTGGAGAACAGAAGCTGTGGCCATTAGTTCGGACAAAAGGCTGCCCAGCCCACTGAAAATATCTTATAGATCTCAATACTTGTCAAACTTGTAGACCTTTTTTGAATGAATCAATTAAGTTGCTCAGTACGAGATAGGAATTTTAGGAATACCCTCGCTTGCTAATCAGACTGAGACGTATTGTAATTCAACTTAACATTGTCTAAGACTGGTTTGCGTTGAATCCCATTATCGATTAGTGTCCCAAGTTTCCCCGATTTGCTGATTCCATGTAACACCCATCACATTTCCCTCGAATCTCGGCATAATCAGATCCCGCCGAGCGGCATTGATATCAGCAGCTTCCTGTCCGACTGGACGGCCCCTACTTCTGTCCCAGCATAATAAGATCAACATCAGATCCGTCACCATATTGTCAATAAAAGTCAACAAGAGTCGTTGTCTTCATTATGAGGAGCACTCTCGCACAGATACTCCACACTCGTACGTACAAAAACACACTCATACGCAGGCAGACGATCAATGACCGCGACGTAGAGTTGGTTCCCCCCATTCCTCCGATCCCCAGATCCACGGCATTGCCCGACCGCATCCCCAAAGTGCCCCCGATCCTTTCGGGGCACTGGCCACTGGCTGTGGGGAAATCGGGAGTCGGCAATCGGGAATCGGGCATCGGGAGTCGGGATGGGCTCCAGTGCGTTGAACTATAAACGTCGTTCTCTGGCGTTGTGCGCTTCTTGCTGGGCATTTCATTCTTGACTTTTTAGCGACGCTGTTTGGCAACGTCATCGTCGTCAGCAGGCGATTACGATCGTCATCATTTTGAGAGTCTGGCCTGGAGTTTGCCCGGCCAGCTTGTTTTGCAATATCATAATCAGAAGCCCCCGCTCCGAGTCCCGTTTCTCCACTATCTGTGCTCATTTAGCAATTCGGATTCGGTGCAACGAACGCGAATCTCGTTCTTTCGCTTTTTGTGGCTTATTTCGGCGAGTGGTTGGTTGTGACGCCCTATCTGGATCTTTTACTCGAGTTACTCTCTTCTGCACAGCGAACAATGTGTTATGTATTGCCTTTTAAACATTTTAGGTAGATATGCACATAGTTTCCTTGCGAATATTTTCAAGAGCATGATGTAGATACTTTTTTATGAAATAACAATAAATAAAATCATCCACCAATCTCCAAGTTTTTCGCTCTGTGTCCATCGATCAGCTGTGTTTGATGTTGCCTCGGCCGACTTGAGGTCGATCCCTTTGTGGGCTCTGCTCCGCTTGCGGATTGCTATCAAAATGCAGAGCTGTCGGTGCTTCACCCTTTGCAGTCGCCCAGTCGCCTTGCCCCCTCTGCCCCTCTGCCCCTCCCGTACTCCGCCCTCCCCCGCTGCACCGCCCGTCCGTCCGCAAAGTGTCAATGCACTTGTTCTTGTTTCAACCGTGCAGCGCGTGTGTGTGCCTTTGTGTTTCTCTGTTTGTGCGACTGCGAGATTATGTGATTGTGTTTGCCGGCGTAGTGCGTGTGTGCTTCAGTGCGTCGTCTTCGCCTCCTGCTGTTTGGCCTGGCCCCCTTGCCCCTCTTGCCCCTTTTCCTAGCACAAGCCGCCGGGCCAAATTTCCCACACCACCTTCCCTTTGCCTTGGGGCACCTAGGTTGCTCAATCCTTTCTGCTTTCCGTTTTTCAAGCACTGCTGTTCCTCCAGCAAACTCTGCACTCAGAAAAGTTCGCAGACTCATTGTGGCGAATTCTTAAGATGTTTATTGTAGAAATATAATTTTACTTACTATATTTAAGTAAAACTGTACTAATGACAAGAACTTGAAGTTATATTTGCCAAGAACCTTTTTTTTCAATAAGTAAGAATATATCTTAGTTTGCAGACTAATTGTGACGAATTTTTAGGATGTTTATTGTACAAATATAATTTTACTTATTTTATTTAAGTAAAACTGTACTATTGAGAAGAACTTGGAGTTCTATTTGCCAAGAACCTTTTTTTCATGAAGTAAGAATATATCTAAGTTATTTCTGGATACCCAAAAATGGCGCTTTTACATATGTATATACCCTTTATCTAAATATTTTAAAATATTGGTCTGAGTATAAGACTCGCCTAAGTTATAATGTATTTCAAACTACTACGATTAGATTGGTTAAATGTATTATCTCAAAATTTCTTGGGATATAACATATCAACTGTTTCCAAAAGAGAGCGCATTTCTAG